AATATTTGACTTGTGTTGGATTTGTTCTACTTTTAAGTCTGAGTGTGCACATACATATGTACATTTCAATGGCAAATTGCCCTTCTTAGCATACACATTCACTTTAAGACAGTCAAAGCTGGAAAAACAAGATTTTTTCACTAGGAGAAGATGGAGCAGAAACTAATCAAAACCACCAAACAGAATTGAGTTATTATGTGTGCTGTGGCAGCTCAAGATCACATCTAGTGGTGATGGATAGTGACGCAACCCGAGAAGCTTTCCTAGCAGTGCTGTGGGAAGGAGACAGTGAGATCGCTCTGCATGTTTATCTGTCCAGGCATCCAGACTGCAGCAGGGATCCAGCAGGATTTCCCGTTTGCTCAAAGGCTGTGTGTTTGTTTTAGGAGGGAGAGCTCAGACACCAGTATTGTTACACAAATGGGGAGTATGGTTATATATAGTAGCAGTGGGGGGCTTTCTTAGGTTATTTTGGACCTTGACCACACAAAAGTGGAAAAGCTCCAAGAGGAAGTTGGGCTGTTCACCTTCCAGTCATAGTGGGCGGATTGTTTTGCTCTGGCTGTGATTGAAAAGCAACAACACTCTGAAGGGTATGAGAGAGTCACAGAGAGCTATGAAGACAAGCTACTTACTGTCCTCAGGTTTGTTACATACTGGCCAGTAGTAAAGCAGGTGTATATTGGGGGTGGAGGGGAGATCTGATTTTAAGAAACTCTCTTTTGTCTCCTCCCCCATTGCTTTGAAAAAGAATGCAGTGCTTGAATTTCAAAAGGAAAATTGTGGGATTGGGCTTCCCTCCTGCTCCCCGTTTCATCCTGATCTAAGATGTCTTCCTGCTACTTCCTAGGACTCAGTTATTCCAATCCTCTTTGGAGCTATGGGGCAGGGAAAGAACAATCCCAGATTCTCTCATCAATATGAAAGGAAAAGGTAGCAGATAGGTTGCCAATAAGGGGACAAACCTAAAACTGGTCTTGAATTTAAAATGTACAATATGCATGGAGGTATGGCATCCTAATGAGATAATTGCCAACAAAAGGCAGCTTATTTCCAGACTTATTTCCCTGTTGTTCATGTTAAAGCATATTAACAACAGCTATTCCTTCCTTTACAACACTTCTCTTTGCACCCTTTATGTCACCAAAGCAAAGTATTTCTGCCAACATTTACTCCCTTGAGGAAAGTCTGCTCCTTTTAAGAGGATTCATTTAACTGGGCTCTGCTTTTTTTTTTTTTGCTAACTTCCGGTGATAAAATTGGCACATTTGGGCTTTTGATTAGAAGGCCACATTGCACACAATCTGTGTTATGGTGCACTATTGCTCTTGTACAGATTTAACCAATTTGATCCATGTCTAATACATAAATAATCCAGTAGGAGCGCTCCACAATAGATGTCAGTAACAAACTATAAAATATTCTCCCTAACAGACATCCATAAGAACTGTGTTTGCAGCACCCTCTGATGACCACAGCAACTAACACAACAATGGAACTGATGAATGGCTTTGTGGCTTTTCATGGGTTTATTAACATGCTTTAACGTTTGATGTTGTATTTACAACACAAACATATTAAAATTACATTACAATGGTTCTTGACCAGAACAAGTAAAAGAGTCTCAAATAGATTTTTACTTGTAGACACCTAAGTCTACATATTTCAATTCTGCAATGTTAGAACAGTGATGTATTTCTGAAATGATTCAAAATATTACAAAATTCACTTATTTCTTCAGTTCAGAAATGGGACTTTATTTATTTATTCAATTTCGATAGTTGCCCATCTCAGTCAATAACTCCAGGTGGCTTACGATTCCAAAACTATAAAAAGTATTTAAAAACAATAAAAATGATCAAAATACATATATGCAGCAGCTGAGATAGTCAACCAGTTAACATAAAGCCAAGAAGCAGTGGCCTTAACACATTCAGTGCCCCAGCTCAGAAACACTGCCAAGTTTTTAAATCCTTATGAAAGGCCAGCAGATTGAGACCATTCTAATTTCCAAGGGGAGAATATTCCACAGAGCGGGGGCTTCTGCAGAAAAGGGACTTCTTTTAGTCCCTGCCAACAACACTGTTTGGCTGATGGGAGCTGCAGCATGTTCAGTCAGCTAGATCGAATCAGATGGGTAGAGACTTGGGAAAAGATAGTCAGTCCTTTAGGTAACTTGATCCTGAATCATAAAGGAATTTAAAAGTGACAACTAGCACCTTGAATTGCATTTTTTGTTTCATCTTTGTTATTGGGGTTTTTTTTTTCTCTCAGAAGAAAGATACAGTCAAGGTAAATATCTAGGAACAACTCATCACATACAGGTAATCCTCAATCTTAATGGAGCCTGCCCATCATGGCCATAACTCATGAAAATCATAAAAGGAGTCAGTCACATGACTAACCTAATTTTAACAACCTTTTTTGCAGCAGTTGTTAAGTGAATCACTGCAGTATTAAGCAAATCCTCAGCTGTTAAGCAAATCAATAATGCTGCTTTGCCAAAACCCACAATAAACGCTGTTTTTTTTATTATTATAAAACGGGACATTGCAAACAACTGTAAATATAGCCTGGTTGCAAATACCCTAAGTGAAATCTCATGGCCACAGGGGGAGCAATTATCAGAACATATAATCTGGGTTGTAAGTATTCTCCAGATAGCTCCACTGGAACTTCAAATGATTGCTAAATGACTAGATAAGTCAAGGACTACCGTTAGATCTGGACAGCAAGAATATTAAAGTACGTGTGCTTGAGCGTTTGAGCAGTGCAAATATGAATGGTATTTTTTCTAAACATCATGTTTATTTTATTAATCACTTCAAACCTTTCATAGAACTCAAGAAACTTCTGGAAAAGAAGTTGGACATCGTTTCAACTAGAGTGATCAATGGAGTTTGCAGGTGGAAAGTTTAGATTATTGTGGCTAAGTAAAATATACTGTTATTAGACATTCTCACTTTCAAAGCTATTTTGTACAAAATTAATTTTCTACTTACAGCAAAGTTGTATGCATATATTCCTTTTCATTATATAAATATGCATAATAGTATACATTCAGTATTTCTGTAAAGCTAAGAATATTAAAGTACATGTGCTTGAGCGTTTGAGCAGTGCAAGTATGAATGGTATTTTTGTGTTGTTGTGTTTTGTTTCAAAAGTCCTATTCCTGTACAGATGAAGCAAACAGTATAAAGAACCATAGGCATAGGATATGGATACAAATTTAATTGAGGTGGCAAATAAATTACATGACTACTTTTTTCTTATGGCATATTTCATTCTCTCTTTTTTATATAAGCACACGTACTGTATTTTCTTTCACATCCTCTCTGCTTTGGACAACGTTTTCTGCATAAATCACTAAATAAACATTGAGGAGATCACTCACATTACTAAAAGATACCCCTCCCTTCAAGTTATTTTAAGAGCATCAGAATACAATTAAGAAGACAATCTTCCAAAAATAAAAACAAGCATTTATTTACTGCTTAACAAGCAGAGTTCAGTATTCACTGCTAATTTCTACTTATGGCATATTGAAAAGGCATGTGCTGAAAAACTGTTATTTGTTTATGTTCACAATTGTCACACCTTGCTTCAGGGCCGAACTCAAGTAGGAGGGTTTTTTTTTAAATTGCAAACTTTTCTCTGAACAAAGCACCATGTGATCTTGCTTTCAGACAAAGCTTATTTCATGGGCATGAGCGGGATCTTCTACACTCATAGCTCCTTCGATGTTTATCCCAATGCACCTTTTTCCAGCGCAGATTATAACTGGCATTAGTCAACCTCCAAGCTCTTCATCAGTAGTTCATTGGTGGCTGAAATGGTGAGCATTTGGCCAGCTGACTTGCAGTGAGGCAGTGAGTGAGCTTTGCCCAACTAACTGGCAGTGAGATGAATATGAGAATGTAAGTGAGCAGCAGGGGTGGGTTTCTACCGGTTCTGTCCACCTCTGTAGAACCGGTAGCTCTGAAGAGCAGCAGACATAGAACCGGTTCTATGTCTGCTGATATTTTTGCCCACTCACCCACCCGGGCTCTTACCTGATCTTTATTTCCTGATTTTTCAACTTCAGCTGCCGCAGTTAAAAAAACAAGAAAAGAGGGCTGTTTCAAAGGCTGATTCTCGGCAGGCAGCGTGCTAATGATGATTTATGACGATTTACAGGCTCACAGCTCACAGCAGGCAGGGAAGCTTGTAAATCCCAAACTGGTAGTTAACCCTTTCATATCCCACCCTTGGTGAGCAGGTTGTACTTGGTGAATATGGGGAGATTATAACAGACCATTTGAGAATCACTGAGATAGTGCAGTAGGGAAGGGACAGTTAACTCTTATGGGAATCTGAACTTTTCGCTTACAGAGAGCTTTTGAAATCAGCCAGCGAGCCATATATTTCCCATCATGTTATAAGAAAACTATATTCCTACTGGAAAACTGTCATATAAAATGACACCCATAGTTCATGGAATCTGTTTTTTTCTGGTTATGCCATTTTTCCACTCAGATGTTGTCAATGTTGTGTAAAAACTCATGTCTGTCCTCAGACATGAGTTTCTACACATGTAAATAATAACTTGTTACTGTTTTTGAATTTACCTTTTTTAATGTTTATTAGACAGATTACATAGTGGCTTAACTTTCTTTAGCCCATTTTTCCTTTACTATCTCTCCTCGATAATCCTACCTTGACTTCAAAGAAACACTAGTCTAAACTTAAACCCCAGGATTCAGGTTAGATACAACAGCAAGTTAGAACCACTGGGAAATCAGGAAGTTCCACATTGATCTTAGCTAAGAAGGGTAAAAGGCATTACTGAATAAAAACAAGGTTGGTATGCAAAATAAGTAATAGCTATATTCTCGCTCCTTAATAAATAACACCAAAGTTTCTTTGTGGATAAATACTTGTGTTCTGCAGTTATACAAGGCATAGGAAGTGAATACTCTGGATCCTTGAAACTCAAAGCTATGTTTTCCGTTTCCCTACAGGCAAGAAGAAGGCAACACTCTTCGACAGCCAGGCTCCTATCTGCCCTATTTGTCAGGTTTTGCTTCGCCCAGGTGAGCTGCAGGAGCATATGGAGCAGGAGCTGGAGAAGTTAACACAGCTGAATATCAGGTAAGGACAGCAACTTTGTTCCTAACCTGTCCTATCCTATCAGAATCATATGGACTTTAGCCCTAGATCTATTAAACTTCAGGTCTTCCCTTTATAGCCAATGAGACCACTCTTTATATTCTATTCTCTCATAATGAAGAATATAAAACCCTTTTAATGTATTAGGGATATTTTTTTCTCATTACATCACTTGTATATCCTCTTTTATAAACGTATTTTCTCAGTCCCAAAGATCCACTAAAGTAAGATATTCCATCAACCAATCCTTACCAGAATGCCTCCTGAGGAGAATTGTATATCAGCTCTCCATAGTAAATCTACTTTCAGGATATTTTTGACTTATTAGTTCCATCCTGGCTTAAGCTTTGGGATTAGCACTGAAAGATTAGAAATTCTGTCTTTGGGAAGACAATATTTCCTGGGAACTTTGGTCAGGAATTCAAGCCATTCCAACTTCCCCTTTCTTGGGCTAGGCAAATACTTACATATAATTTTTATTAAAGACCCTTAAAGAAGGCAGATAAAAACTAATATAAAGTAAGTAAAAGAAACACATTAATGTTAACTTTTTCATGGACTCCTATAAACAACTGCATTATTTTCTTGGATGTCTCACAACTAAGAATGTAGAGAAGAGATTAAGCATTTGGATATGAAGTTAGAGGCCCCCCTCTTGCTATTCTCTAATCTATTTTATTTTATTTATTTGATTTGTCAATCGCTTACAAGATAATAGGTAATAGTAGGCACATTGGTGCACTTATGCACGCCCCCTACAGACCTCTTAGGAAAGGGGTGAGGTCAATAGTAGACAGTCTAAGGTTAAAGTTTTTGGGGTTTGGGGAAGAAACCACAGAGTCAGGTAGAGTATTCCAGACATTGACCACTCTGTTGCTGAAGTCGTATTTCCTGCAATCAAGTTTGATGCGGTTAACCTTGAGCTTGTATCTATTGTGTGCTCTTGTATTGTTATGGTTGAAGCTGAAGTATTCATTGGCGGGCAGGACAGTTACTTTCTATTTTCACTAGCACGTCAAAAGTCCTGTTTTAAAAAATTAATTGCATTTTAACTGCTAGCAGTTATTTGGGAAATCACCGCAACAGATTCCTATCCTTGTCTCAATAAAGCTGCAGCCTGGGAGAGAGAGGTGTTTATTTCATTTATTAATGAATTTCATCATGATTAAAAGGTGAAGAAAGAAATCAGGGAGGTGAAAACAGTTAGCAAAATCATCAGGTTTTAGGGAATGGCAGGAAGCCTGGAGCCATGAGGTTTTAAAAGTGCCACTACCCAAAAAGACCATCACTATGGGGAATTTGGAAAAGGAGTTTAATTTGGTCCAAGGTCTGTTGTCAAGGTAAACAAGGGGTCAGTTGAAGAGAATATTTGTAGCTCAAGGTTTAACAGCAGGGTCCTGGGTGTTCTCTGAGCTTGGTGGGGTTTTTTTTTGCAGCACTGATGATATTACCTAGTTTGAAGTGAAATGTCTGCAAGAAAATCCTCAAGCTCAGAGAGGACCAAGGACCATCGTAACAAGATGTCTTAATGGATAAAAGCATATTTACATTGGCTCCACATCTGTTGCCTGTTTTTTCCCTTGCCATTTTTTACATGGGAGGCGGGGTGGGTGGGCGGGAAGAAAGGCCAAGTCATGCAACACTCTGTTCCCTTATGTATATAATTTATAGTGTGTTTTGGGGGTCTATCTGACTTAATAAAGGGCCACTGCAAATTAATGAATGGGTGTAAATGAACAGAAGCAATTAGCCCTCAGAGAACTTATAGAAACAGCAAGGCAAGCCTTATAGGAGAGCTGAGAGCAGCCTTTAGCTGGATACCTTGGGTGGTGGTGGGAGGTAGTATTTAATGGGAAAGGAAACACTAAATCATAAAGGCTGACAAGAACCATTCTGGGCCAGCTGACAAATGAAAAAGAATGGCATTATTCCTTTAAATAACCACAGCAGTTAAAAGGGGGGAGACAGCTTACTTTTAGCCCTTGACTATACTGGCTGTATGCATGTGGAAGAGGAATAGCAGAGCCTTTATTAATTATTAAGTAATGACTCCTATCCTGCTGCAATAGATAGCCTTCGGCCTCCTGTATCAACCAGGCCCCAGGGGCTAATCATTGGCCTTCTGGCAGACCCTGCCCTAACCTGGCAATAGGAACAAACCACTTTAAATGTCAGGCTGCTTTGGGGTTCCTGGGAACGGGGCTTCTGCACTGACAGATGAACATGTTCCCATGTCTGAACCTTCCAGGAATAGCATGTATCCTGCTGGCAAAAGAAAAAGTGTTGCTTTTCATAATCAAGATGGTGGCCCTGTCCTTCAAGAATATAAGCAGCCCATATTGAAAAAAAGAAAAAGGAATAGCGCTCCAATAAGCAAATAAAACTTAAAAGGTAACGGTAGAGGTTCCCCTTGCACATACGTGCTAGTCGTTTACGGCTCTAGGGGACGGTGTTCATATCTGTTACAAAGCTGAAGAGCCTGTGCTGTCCGAAGACATTTCTGTGGTCATATGGCCGGCATGATTAAACCACCAAAGGCACATGGAACACTGTTACCTCCCCACCAAAGTGGTCCCTATTTTTCTACTTGCATTTTTTACGTGCTTTCGAACTGCTAGGTTGGGAGAAGCTGGGACAAGTAACGGGAGCTCACTCCATTACGCGGCGCTTGGGATTCAAACCGTCAAACTGCCGACCTTTCTGATCAACAAGCTCAGCGTCTTAGCCACTGAGCCACCGCATCCCTTAAATAAAACTTACAAATGCATTTAATTATTTAGTGGATTAATATCCATTCAGGAGGTAAAAGTGGCATATATTGCTCCTCCTTTTGTCATTTTCCCCACAGCAGTAATCCTATGAAGTAGGTTAGACTGAATTAGAGAATGACTGACCCAGTTACCCAGGGAGCTTTGGTGGCTAAGAATGGACTTGAACCCAGGTCACCCTACTCCTCGTCCAACATGATATCACAACTATATCTAGTTGTAACCAAAATGGCCAACAGCTACTATTTATTTAGTAATATAGAACAGGGAGATTCTTGCTTTGCTGGGATTAAGATGTGGGAGGAAGGAGAGGAGGAGACATATTCTATCAGAGAATGTCCCTGCCCATATTGTGCATTCAGCATCAATGGGCACCGGAATGATCATAGCACTTGTGAGTGATTTGGATGCGGTCATAAGCATTTAACTTGAAGTTCATAAAAGGATTAGCTGCACCATAGTTTATTGCTTCTGAAAGTTCATTTACATAGCCAAAGAGATTTAAAGGTAATCATCCTGAGCATACAACCTTTATTTACATCAATAAAGCACTGGAGTTTGTTACAGCCATACATCCTTGTTGCTGGCATTCAGTGTTTTATCTGTTTCTCAATGAAATTTTTAAAACCACAGAGATTACAATTTTGCTTCAGTTTACATTATATTTATTTGCTTATTTTATTTATATTGTGCATCTTTCACCATCGTTGAGCTTGCAAGGGTTCTGGGTGTTTTCTAGGTACTGATTGGGCCTGTGTCTATTTAGTGGCAATAAGGAGGCTGCACTGTTATATCTTCAGATCATGCCTTGGCATTTAGAATATGATTGTGTCCTAAAGAGATCCTGATTGTAACTGGGTTTGTTCTGTTTCAGTCAACTCACTTTTGTCTTCAAATCAGTCATTACTTGGATTTTATCCCAGAACAATTGATTTCTCTACTTAAATAGCAGTATTTCCTTTATTTGAGAAAAATAAATTCAGTTGCAGCTAATGTTGGTTTGTAGTATTAACTCCTTTGATGCTTGGTAGTTGTTGTTTTTTTACTTACCTACTAAATTAACAGTGCTTCATGTTATGATGCTTAGTGCAATGTTCAAGTCCAGGAATAGTTTTGTAATACATTATTTTGTTAGATGAGAGAGAAGATCCAATTGTCTCAGTGCCAGGAAGGCAAGTGGCTGCTTGGTGGCTATTTTTTGATTCAATATTGTTGTTCCATCATATATTCAGAGAAATTGCCTTTTTATATTATTGTATTTTCATTTTTAATCATTATACTTTTGTATACTGCTTAGAGTTGCTTGGGTGGCTGAGGCGGCTAGTAAATTGTGTAGAAATAGACCAGAAGAGTGCTATTGCCTATTGAAGCTTGAATTCATTAATTAAGCATTGCAATAGCTTTACCTATTATTCTGTCTTTCTTTTCCTTAGGTTTTTACTAGCAATGGTTTAATCTGAAGAAATCTTGCCAGTAGAGAAGGTTGAATTATATGATTTCGAAAGAGTTCATCTCATCCTTCTTAATAACCTTTCCTCTCACCTATCTTGCCTCCAGATTCTGCTGCTACTTTTGTACAGATTCCTAAACAGCCTTGTATATAAAAGATGGAAGCTTGTTTATTTTTTTTAAAGAACATGCCAGCATAGATGGAGTTAATCGCCTCCAAGCTGAAGTTTGTAGTTGTGTTTTCTTTCAATTTATATCCTTCACTTAAAAAGGAAAAAAAGGTGGGGGTGAAATCGCCCAGCAGGTGACATATTCTAAGAGGGAGCAGCGAAATCGTGTTAACCACTTCAAAATCTCATATATTCAATCGGCCTCTGGCAAGACATCTGCCTAATGTTAGCGCTTAAATATCCTTTTCCATTTTACATGCATTCAAGTCTCATTTGAGTGAAATGAAACGGTATTATTAAAGGGAGATTTTGCACAAATGGCCTGAATTTGACATGTCAAGTTCAATGAGGCTGTTACATATGTAATGCTGAGAAGGGGCTCCAAGGCTCCTGGCACTTGAAACAGCACCAGTGGCTCAGAAATGAAATTTGCATGCAACCTTTTTCCTCCCCACCCTTCTACTCAAAGCCACAGAATGCCAAGTTGCAGCTTGTGCCTCGTGGAAGCCTGGGATAGGATTTGGGAATAAAGCAATTACTGGTCTAGGGCAAAGTGATTTGGGAATAGAAATGCCCTCTCCAAAAACTCAGTATC